TGAGGTTACAAAAACTTTGAAGGGTGACCAAAGACTTCAATTCTCGGATTTAAACCTCATTTTATTGTATTTTCAGTTTTAAACCTTTCATCTTTTTAATTTTAAGTTACTTTTGAGTTAGTGGATGTTATGGTAGCAATGTACTACGGAGTTTTCCATTGTCTAAAGGTTACTTTTAGGCATTGTTTTAGAGGCTATAGCCTAGCTTATTCCATTGTAAAATAGAGATTTGAGATTGAGTCATGAGATAAATGAAATTTGAGCTTTCTTATGGAGTGATTTGAATCTTGAGTTTAAAAACAAGTTTTCTATAATTTTGATTTTGATCATCAAAGTAAATTCGTTCTAACTTATTTATCGGGTTGAAATCGTTTTGATTTGTGTGTTTTAACATTTGTAATCTAGGGGTTTGCATAATCCTAAGGGGTTTTTAGATTCAATTGGCAAGAGTTTTCTTATGAAGAATTTATGTGAAAAAACTCCAAATGGGAGAAAAACTCCTACTCACAAAAGAAATTCATATGTGAAAAATATTATAGCACGCATAATTCTCTCTCCGACTCTATTTACACAAAATACTCTCTCAAAACAAATATTACTTAAATAATAGTCAGTATACTAAATTTTAAAAATATTTCCATTAGAATAAATAAAACTCAAAGTCATGAACTCTTATATAGTATTTGGAATACACATCTCGAGAGTGAAACCACTTATATTCTAATACTTTGCCAAAAATCCCGCCTATAATATATATGGAATAATATATTCTCCTACTTTAAGCATCTTTAAGACAGTATAATTTTTGGGGGAAAAAAAGAGTATAATTATTGAAATTTAGAAAAGGATGAGCATAATTATTAATTAGAGAAAAAGAATTAAATTGAAGCGAGAAATAAGAAATACGGGAGAGAGACAACGAAATCCAAGCCAACGCCTCATTCACATGCTTTTATAATAAAACGACATGACGATATATTTAATATAGTTTGAACTTGAAGATGTCGTGTCATTGCAATCCAGCGTCGTATTGGACAGGGCAGAATACTGTGGCGTAGGAGACCCACTGCTCTTTTNTTCATGAAAAAAAAATGTTTAAGTTGCTGTCTCTTATAATCTCTAGTACTGATTTATGATAGCATCGTTTATTCGTTTTATAGTATTTTCGGCCTGCTTAAAGTTTTTATTTATTTTTTATGGTATTTACTTTATTAATCAACATATTACTAAAAATTCAAAAGTTTAAAATCAATGAGATGAATATGAAAATTAATGGGTCAAAATGGTCCCTTTATAAAAAGATATAAAGATCAAATAAGACATTTTGAGAGTACTTATACTAAAATAGATAAAAGTTGAAAATATGTAAACTAAAATGGAAGTTTTAAAATTACATTAACTAAAATGGACTATAGTCCAAGAAGTTACATAAACCAAAATAATATTTAAACATAAAAAAATGAATAATCAAGACTAAAACCCGACAAACTAAATCCGGATATCAAGCGGGCACTCGAGAACTCAAAAGGTTGAGATTGACGAAGAAGAATCGATATAAGAATCAAGGACCAAGGTCAATCGGTGGATTGATTGGTCGGCTCGGGCGACCACCCGCATTTTGATCCGCTCTGTTTGGTTGAGTTACAAAATCGTCTTGAGTTGGTTGGTTGACTTGACTAGTCTAAGTGATCACTTGTCCTCTGGTTAGCCACTAGCTAATTAGTCCAAAGTCGACATAAACTCAACAAATGCCGACTGAGAGGAAAATCCAGAGATTTACGGAATTCGAATTGTTCTTATTTAAAAGGAGATCTAGATTTTCTTCGGGCTATAAATAAAAGAAGAAACCTAAAATTAAGGTACGTTGAAAACCCTACTTTTAGTTAAGTTTCACATTGAACTTGACTCTAATTTACGTATCGAAGTATGCGTGACTAGCACCACATCCGTATGTTTATTCTATTGATCTATTTTGCTGGTCATTCATTCTTGAATTTTTATTTGAATAAACAACATTTCAATATACTTTAACAAGGATAAAAATAAATTATTTAACATTCCATAATTAAGCATTTTCTATTCCTAAGCTTTTTCTCCGTTTTTAAATATTACTAGTGTGAAACACAATGCACGTGAAATTTCGTAGTCTTATTTTAAAGTATAAAAACATAAAACTAATTAAATATATAGTTAAAACTTTTTAATATATATATATATATAACCCCATTTGACATGATCAAGAGAGATAAAATTAATTTAAAAAAAGTGGAATTTGTAAAAAGTATTTTGAAAGAAAATGAAAAAAAGAAAAAGAAATGGGAGGAAGTGGCATGGGTCTCGCGAGAAATAGGAGGAGAGATGGGAGGGAAAATTTATATTTGAATGATAAAATTGTTCCAGTATAATTATGAAAATGTTTAAATTAAAAAGACAAAATAGGAAGAAAAAATTTATATTAAAAAAGTTAAAATGTAAATTTTCTGTTCATTCTCGTACAAAATTCCGTCTCTGCCCTTAAGGTAGACTTTTCTTGTTGCTAGTTTTAAGTTGTTTCCTTGAAAACCATTGACGATCACTTCACCAGCAATGAGTCAAAAACGGAGAAAAAGTAATAAAAAAATTAAAAAAAAAAAAGGTGAAAATCATTCCATTCAAGAAAGTGACACATTGGCATATCATATGAGAAATTTGGAATTTTTTTATTTTGATAATGTACTGAATTAAAAATACAAAAAGCTGTAACAATTGGTGGTTAGTTATTGAAGGTATAATCTATGTATTAAAAAAAAATGGGTGATTATTTTTTTAATATTGAAAAAGATTACATTTTTCTCTTTTAATTAATCAGCATCCTCTCTCTTCTAGAAGTAATTTGAAGTAAGCCAATAAGTTAATAATTGCAGTATAATTAACAATCAAAACCCATCAATTTTTACGCTACTTAGACTTTCTTTTAAAAATGTTTTATTGAGTGCAAAAGTGAAGCAGGACCAAGACTTCTCCACTGAAAATTATGTTCCTGAAATTCCACGAATCATATGTTACGTTAATAAAATTAGAAATATTAACTTAAAATTAAAAATATTAACTTGTGTTATCGCCTATGGGATCTGATCAATAAATTAATCACCATAATTAAGATTAAAAAAAAAAGGGAAAAAAAAAGAAGACGAAAGATAGCGACCACCCAAAAATTCTAACTAAATTTAAAAAAAAAAATGACCAACTGCTCAACCCCATTTGTTGTACTGAAAATATATATAAGTATATTTTGGAGAACTTTGAGTTTTTAAGAAATATTACAAATATAGCTTCTAATCTTTGAGAAAATCCTTAAATTTTTATTTTATAAAAAGTTGTTTATAAAAATATGGTATCATTCAATAGGTGTTTTATTAACATATTTAAATATATGGACAAGGAAGTTTCTAGTACAACAACACACGTATATGTATCTCTGGCCTCATTTACATCTTTTAACAACTAGTGCAATTTATCAACATTAAATGATTATTCAAAAAAGAAAAAAGTAAGCTGTGAACAAAAAGTGTAAATATTTACATAGAATAATGAATAAGCGTAGAACAATAAAATTTTCTCCTAAGATATTACTTGTTAACCTTCTTAATTATCAACAAATTTTGACGTGGCAAAATTGAATAAAACTTAACCATCGTAGATTCAAAGGGGCTACGATTAATTAAGAGAGAATAAGTTCAATCCACCTACCTTAGGAATTAGTAATATATATGTGTTTATCCACACCAAATGTTGTAAGGTTAGACGGTTATCCCAGTAAGATTAGTCGAGGTGCGCATAAACTAGCTCGGACACCCATTAATATATATATATATGTATATATAATAGTAAAACCCATAAAACTCATAATATTAGGCCAAAATCGAAAAGTCAAACATAAATTAGGTAAACTTATTTATTCAAAACTAAAATTTGATAATCGTATAGGTTGCACAAACTTAAACTTAAACTTGTAGATTTTCGATAAGTCACATGAATCTAGACTTCTGAGACTGATATTCCACCGTGGAAAATAAGAAAAAAAAAAAGAGAGTAAGGACATGGACTACAAATTCCATCAACAGATTGGGAATGGGAGACAATAATATGTTCATATTAAGAAATAGTTGTAATAAAGCCAAACAGAATTACAGATAAAACAAAGTCACTAAAATAAAGACTCAAATGGTTGGTTAGATTGGCACAAAGACCTGCCCATGGTCGGTCTCTGCATATTTCTCTTCCATTTTTCCAAACCTTATTGTCATTTACCTTAGTAGGTCGTCCACTAATGCAAAGTTCTAAAATTTTAAAAATAATTGACGAGTCTAACATGCACCTACACCCAAAAAAAACCCTTATTTTCGAGGTCGTCTCTATCCGTGACATAGATAGCAGATAGTAATTTTAATAGATTTGAATTGAGAAATGACAGAATGCTCCCTAAAACCAGAGAGAATAAGAAATGATTACGTGTATTTGTCGAGTCACAGAATTGAGAGTTGAAATACTTGATATTGGGAATAAAGAAATTTGAGTGAGAGACCAAGACTTAATCCATCGTTATCTCATGGGCGGGCTATCATTCGTGTATTTTTGATATACAAATAATATGTTTGGACCATGGATAGTCAATCAAACCAATGATTTTAGCCCACCTCTTAGCAGAAAAAATAGTCTAATCCATCATCAAAGAGACGTCGCTCTCATATAAAATAACAAAAAGAAAGGCTCAGAGGGCAATTTGGAAAATGAAATAGCATAAAAGGGCATTTCTGAAAATTTACCTACACAGAGGAAAACTATGAGTTGGGCCGCTTTCTTACCACAAATCCAGTTGCCTCCTCCATAAAGCAGCACTACGAAAATCCGGCCCAAAACTATATTGGGCTCCGAACTGGGCCACAATAGTTCGAATCCGGCCCATTTTAGCAAATTTTGAAACCCGTTGCCGCCCTTCTCTATTTTTGAACTTTCAAAATTCCATCCAATCGTCTCTCTCCTCTGTTTCCACAGATTTGGATTTGCAGGAAGATCCGCGTTAATTCAACTTCAATCCCTCGATTCCTTGCAATTAATGGATCCTAAAGCCACTCAGTTTCCAGGTATTAATCCGTTTCGTTTTCTCTTCATTCATTTCTGCTCAATTTTATTTCTGATTTCTTTCAATCTGCTTCAAATCGGCAGTGAAATCTCTTGCCTCTAAACCGAAATTCACCCGAAAGCCGGTATCCGAGGCACCCCAAATCCCCGTTCATCAACCAACAATTTCCAGGTACCACACCGTATTATTCTCAATTTCTTTCTAGGTTTTCTCGTAGAATCATGTTCCGCTGCGGTAGATTTTGAATATTGTAATTATCGTTAGGCAGAAACGAGTTTTCGGAACTGTTCGGAGCTCAAACATACCAATCAAAACGGTGAATGAAAAGCCCTTAGCTAAGCCCTCGAATGGGGCCGTTAAGAAGCAACTCAAATCGACCCGATTAACTCAGATCGCCGTCAATGTCACTGCTGATCAGAAGATCAATGAAAAACTAAATCCGAGGCAGAAGAAGAAGAGCCCTGGCATCAAACAGCCAGCTTCAGGAACGGCCCTCAAGGATCTGCGTGTTGAGAACGACGTCGTAGAGCCTCAGACACCGGTGGCGGTGCCTCGCTTGTTGAAGTTGAAGAATGGTGGCACGCCTTACCATACTGCGGAGAAATGCAGTAACTGCCGTTTTGACAAGATGGAGACGTCGTCGTATTGGGTTGCTCAGATCAAATTGGCTGAGGCCGTGGGGAAGCATTTTGTGTCAGCTGATTTCTTTCGCCTTGCTTATGTCTGCAACGCAGAGGTAACGTAAATCCAATTTAAAGTGCTTTTTAAAAGTAATTTTAGCTCCAGTACTTGAGGATTATTTGATGTTTGGTTTTAAGTGCTTCTCTGGTAATTACTCTGTAGTGCTTTGATTGCCTAAATCACTGTTGCTATTGTGAATTTCTAGAATTACTTTATACTAAAACATTACCATTTTAAATGGAAGTAATTTTGGCAACTAAAAAGTGATCTCCAAAATCCTTTACAATGTGGTTTTTTTTTTTTCCTTCTTCTTTTACTAAATGACTGTAATTTGGACAGATAGCTATAGTGTTTCTGTTGTGTTTTCCTGAGTGGCAGGTCTCTAGCTAATTCCTCCTCCCACCCCGAACCCATAATTAGAACTATAAAAAGGAGAGATTGCTCAGATCAGAAACATAAAGGTGACAATATGGGTTTGGGGTTTCCCGGAGAAGATCCCATTTGATTTTCCTCCATTGAATTGGGGAGATTCTTTATAATGATGTTTGTGAAACTACAGAGGATCTTGTCTTTGAAAAATCCAAGTGCAGAATATCTTCTTATTTCCTGTTTCATGTTCATCAGCACTACAGTTTCGAATTCGTGGCCATTGCCCATCTATTCGCAAGAATCTCCATGAATTTGTTTGAAATCTTTTGGGTCTGCTCGAAATTCAGTTTTAACCTTGGCATTCTTATTGTAATAGCCGATAAGGAACCTCAAAGTGGAGCTAAAGCGTTACTTGACAAGGCATGAGCATCTATCTGCGCACACGGAGTGGAAAGACGTGAGTCTCAGCTACGGCTTACTTCAAGTTCAAGATGACAACAATGGCGGCCGCCAGAACCCGTCCATTGAAATCAGTGGCAACGAACTCAATAAAGATCAGATTCCGGCAACCGAATCTGGGACACCAGAAATGAGTAGCAGTGATGTGGATCAAGATGATATTGTGGGAACAGATGTTGGTGAGATGGGAACCGAGACAAGCAGAAGCCAAAGATGGGCAGATTCTGCGTCTTTGGAAGCAGGACTGAGCCATCAAAGTTGACAGCCGAACATGATTTGTTGATAGCCATTGTTGTTTGTTGGTTGTGTTGTATAAATATGTTTAGTTTTGCCCAATTCACACTACTTGTCGTATACTAGGCAAATGATTTAAAGATTTTTTAATGTTATTCAAATGATATATTGTTGTAGTTGCTTATTCTAGTTGGTATGGTTTTAGGTTCAACAAATCAAATCCATGGAACCAATAATTGTTACATTGGTGATGCTGTGATGGTAGAAGAACAGGGAGGGGTAGAATGGAGATAAGCCTAAGTTTGTTTGGAATTGAAATCAAGTTGGGCCCATGAGGAAAACTATAGGGCATTGTAGTGTAGTTGTTTCCCATCTTGATTAGGGATGTCCCCCACTCCATAAAATTTTATAAAATTGTGTCGGAGTTTTTGTGAAAATGTATTTCTCATTTATTATTTTATTTTGTTAATAAATTCTCAATTAAATAATTTTTTTTAAAGCTTAATAAATCTCCATTTACATGGTCTCATTTAAAAGAACATTTCTTAACCTACCTAAATAAAATAAAATAATATTTCATCTTAGTTAAATTATGCATATCATAATAAGTATAGAATAGAAGGTAAATATTGAAATTTTTTTCATATCTATATATACGTACATTATAAAAAAGTAGCAGGGTGGGTGGGGACACGTTTAGGGGATCGGGATAAAATTCTTCTATTATGGTTCGAGAAAAATGAACATCACTAATTTTGATCCTATCATATAATTGTCCTTTTAATTGGTCCCGTTAATAGCAAAAGAAAAAAATAATAATAATAATAACAACCGTTCTTTTGGACGTGTCCCCTGCCCGCCACACCACCTCATTTATTCACCAAATTAAGCGGGGCCCTCCTATTTTCCCACATTTTTCCCTTTCTATCCCTTTGCTTCACATTCTACGTTTCCCTTCTTTTCATTTATGGGATTTTTCTCCTTAATATGATAAATTTAATTTCACTTAACAAAAATTAAAAACTAAAAGAATCAATATCTTATATTTTTGTAAAACTGAAAAAATTAAAACATGTTACTTTGTTTTCTAAAATGTTAAAAAAAAAATGTACCCTTACCAAAGTAATATATCATGATTTACACACTTGATTATCGACTTATATATTAATCTACTGTAATCACAACCACCATCTATTAACCTTACATATCATTTGAGTATAACATAACCAATAATCACTTAAAATTACGAATACTTCAATTGTCCCTAAATTTTCAATGTCCTATTTTAAGTAGGTCGTTTTTTTATCTACAGTGAATCAAAGATCTATTAGATACAAAATTGAAAATTTAGGTACATAACAAATACTATATGAAAAGTTCAATCGTCTGTTAGACATATTTTAAATTTCAGAGACATATTAGACACTACTAAACTCGTAACTTAAAGCTTGGATATTTTACAAAAGAAAAATGTTTGAAAGTAGGGATGTGAGAGTGAGAGAAGGTTGAAGGGGGCAGTGGAATAGATATTGGGCCCTAGAATCGACATGAGCCATAAAGTTGAACAACGAAATATGAGAGAGCTCACTCACTTATCCAACAAGACATGTCGGCCCATTTTCTATGATGTTTGGTGCAGCCTACATTGATAAGACATTTCACAATCCCATAGGGGACAACAACAGCCCACCAGGCCCATTTCACTGCATTTTCATCACTGTTCCTCAAATATAATATCTTCACAAGAAAATAAAATCAAATAAATAATCTTCAAGATTTTGTTCGATTTGGTTTGGTTTTATTTATCCATGGAATAATTGAGTTTTACTTCTGTTTCTTTCTGACTTTAAATCAATTATTAAGTTTTAAGGGCTTTTTTGATTTGAATCTTGTTTATTCACGTTTATAACACCCTCAACAAACTTCTCACCCTTCTAACTTTTTCTATTTAATATCTTATCTTTTATCAAATTAAGTTTTCGTTTATTTAGTCAATACAAGTTTTTAAAAAATCATATTGAGTTTATGAAATTTCTATGTTTAATATAATAAGTCACTGCCTTTTAACTTTTAACTTTTAATGGTCTATTTAGTCACTATATTTTTAAAAGACTTTAATAAACTCGTAAATAATTAATTTTGTGTACGGTAGTCTCCTATTTGTAGCTTTGTCAATCTTAATTAATAATACAAATGTCTTAAGCAAATTAGATTATTATGATCAACCTATCACATAATTAAATGAAAAATACATGAAATTGAAAGTTGAATATGAGATTTTAAAGTATATATACACATTACATAATTTTTTTTATACAACGAATTAGAGGTACGAGAATTTGAACTTCTAACCTCAAAAGAAGAAGTAGATACCAAATTATCGACATACCGAATTTATGTTAGTATCAAATAAACAAATTTTAAACATAAAACTTATAATTTATAACATTGATTTGATTGTAATTATATTATTGAGTTCGGGTTTGGAGTGGAGGATTGGAACTTTGTTAAAAGCAAGTAATTATTCGTATGATGCCCCAATTGCAAGTTTGCCATCATGGGGATACCATTTGTCCCCCTCTAAAGGAGGGCCCACTGGGTCTTTTTTTTTAAATTTTAAATAAATGAAGTTGGAAAATAATAATAAAAATATAACTGGTTGGATTCCCTTGTTTGGGCACATAAATAATCCGAATTAAACACATCTTATTTTTCCAGTGTGTTTGGGGTTTTATTACATTCCCTGTTCTTGTCTGTTTTTTCTTAAATTAAAAAGGAAAAAAAAAACAATTCAGTCACAAACTAAACTACTGATTCATTATTGCAGCTTCACAAAACCCAGCAGACTCCCAAGATTTTGTTGTTTCTTGAATTTTTTTTTTAAACAGAACTGATCGGCCATCAGCTTTTTTTTTTCTCCTCGATATTTGGTAAAATAGTAAGTAGGTGATCATAAAATAAAAATTTAAAGTCAATAGATTCAACGAAAACCAAGTTTTTAAAAGTAAATATGTGAAATGGTGACGAATGTGTAGTCGTTAGATCCATTTGATTAAGTAAATCTGAAAATAATAAAATAATTATATATGAATGCGAGGAGGGATAAAAATAGAGTTTTAGATTAAATTAAAAAAAAAAAGGTTAGGTGGGGGTGGAAGTGTAAATATAAAGGAGAATGAGGGGTTGGGTTGAAAATAGAAATGGGAATAAAAATGGGGTTTGGGGAGACATAGACATATGAGAAAGAGTACTAAAGATGCGGGCGATAAAAGCAAAAAAGAGAGAGATGGGGGACTAATACTAATACAAACAAAATCTACCACACAGACAACGCACACATTGATTAAAGTTCCAAACAACACATACACACACACAAAACATAATTCCTTAATTTAATACTTCTTTCTTTCTACCTTTTACACCCCCAAAAAAACACACCTTTGAACCTAATTGAAATGTTGCATTTGAGCAATTAATGCTACAATTTTGTTGTTTTGACTTTGATATGGTTGTAGCTCCCAAAAATACACAAATCGTGACGATATGACATATGAGTAGAGAAGAGGGGTACATGGATTAACTGGTACCACATCCGAATTAGATGGATCTTAAGATCATCGAAGCGAATTTAAAATAATTGATAGTCACTATACATATGAATAAGGTGCATCTTTCTTTTTGGGGTTCAGTCATAAGAATTAAAAAATAAAATGTGCTTAGCTTTGAGCAATTTTCGGTTGGATGGACACGTGTTGGACTATGCATAAATATCCTTCAAACTAGCTATCAGATTGTTGTACACTATAATTTGAACCATCAACCACTTCTAAATTAAAGGAGTTGTTATAAATACACTATTAAACTTTAGAATTTGTCGTGATCAAGTCCAAACCCGATTAAATAATATAATAAAGTTTAATTGCGATGAATTTGTCAAGTTCAACGTATAGTTCACCTAGTAAAGGTTATATAAAATTATAGCGAATTTATAATTTGAAAGCGAGATTGTAATAACGCTCCAGTAATTTAAGCTAATGTGTACATTTTCGTTTTTCATTTTCTTCGATAAATATAAATAGGACGGTGTTTGATAATCGATGATATATATTTCAATCGGATGGGAAACGAGGGTGAAAGTGAAAGGGGGGACAGTGGGTGTTTACGCCTTTAATAAAGTGTGTTTTTTCTATTTATACTTTTTTATTATTTTTGGCGACAAATGTTGGTGTGACCTCTCACTGTCTCTAACCATGATGTTACGTATCTTTCCTTTCTTTTCTTTTTTCTTTTTTCTTCCATATTTATTAATTGTTATTTAATTTATAATGAATTATTCATTCTTCTATCCCCACGTGCACTATAATGGTCGTGTAAAGCACACGCCCATTCACCTTCTTAACCCCAAAAACAAATCCTTGCTTTTCTTCATTATACTTATTATTGTGTTTCTTTTGGAAAATCATTTATGTTTTTCCCCTCTCCTATTTAGTTAATAGGAAAATAAATAGTCCAAGCTTTTATTATTATTATTATTTTATTTCTTAAGAATTGCATAGGGTGATCTATTGCAAGTATTATTATGTAAGTTAAAAAATATTTTCCACTCTCAATTACTTGATCATGAACAAAATCAAACATTAAATAAATTTTATAAAAGCTCATTAATTAAAAAAAAAGTGGTAATGTTGTTTTATTTTCAATTTAATCAGTTTATTTAAGACATGTTTTATAATTCTAAGGGATGTGAAAATAATATTTGTAACCATTCTTTCAAATGAAAATTTATCAAAAAGTAAAAATTGCAACAATGGTTCAAGTTTAAGGTAAGGATTACACCACCTCTTTAAGTTTTAAGGTAGAAATTGCAATATATATCTATGATGTAATTTCATAAAAATCAAAATTTTGTGGTAGAAATTTATTTACAATTAGGAGTAAAAATTTATTTTCTCCCCCAGAGTCCATCATTATTGTTAGTTTAAGAGTCTAAGACAAAGTGATTTTATGACTATAATAATTATTGTATTGAAAAGTGTGACCATTACATTTTTTAAACTAACATATCCTATGATAAACAATATACATTTGTTTAAAGAGACATTTCCAAGTTATGCCACTGATTTAACATGCATTTTTAGTACAATTTAACGTGTTGGCACATAGTTTATTTAATCTAAATTAAAGTTGATGACGTCAAACCTTTGTTGGTGCCAAATTTATCTCTAAACAAAATCAAAGTAATACAAAGTTTATATCCAATTTTATTGAAGTTGTAATTAAATAAATGCACTTTAATACCCAAATTAATGATGAAAGTAATACAATTTTATTGAACTACACTATATTGCTCAATTTATTGAAAAAGTTATACATTCAATTTAACCAAAAGTTACGACAAATATAGTTAATCTAGTTGACAATAGATTAATGACCATAAGTGAAGTTTAAGTGATGATTTAATTAACATTTAAGGAACCATTTTTTTTTTAAATCAAGGGGATGTTTATTAGTTTGATAATCATGCCAAACGAGAGGGTAATTTAGGTATTAAGTAAAACATCAACTTCATCTTTTTATTGTATTATTATTATTTAGTTAAATTCTAATTATTTTGTCATAGTTCAGCGATAATTGACATATATCTCTAACTAAGAGATTGTGACTTCGATTCCCACCAACACAAGTTGTACTAAAAAAAATTTCTTATTATTTCGGAATGTTAAAAAATAAAGTATAAAATTGAAAAATCATAATTTTAAGAGCTTGTTGTATACGGACATTTTAATGTGTCATGTTTTTATAATAATAAATAATTTTAATTAAGTTACTAGTAACTAGAGCGTAAAAAATCATTATATTTTAAATTTGAATGAGTGAATCGTATTGTTAATTCATTTGGACATTTTGTAACAATCAACTGCTTGAAAATATTAAATACAGTGGACAACTAAATAATTCAGTAAATAATTATATTTTTTAAAATAATTTTTTTATTTGTGTATTTTGGGTCAAGTTGGCCATTTTAACTTTCAAAATTTTAATGTTGAGCCTAAATAAGAGATAAAATTAATATTCTAGAGAAATTGTCAAAATGCAACCAGTAAGATATCGTTTCATAACCACTATTCCGTTACTTTTTTTTTCATTTTCTATTTTCTTTTAATTTAAATTTATAAAAACAACTTTTATCCCAATGGTTTATTTGTCTGGTAAAATACTTAAAAAAAAAAAAGACCATTTTCAAAATGTTAGCCAAATTAAAAAGAACTCTAAAAATTAAGTCTCGTTTTTTTTTTGAAATTTAGTTAAGAATCTAAGTGTTTATAAATTATCTGAGAAAAATATTTAAAAAGTGATGGGAATGAAACATGTTTTTTAAAATATAAAACAATAGACAAAATTGACACAAAATCTAGACGATGGTTTGGTTGGGAAAATGTAGAGTTGAGCTATGACACAAAATCGTTATAAAAAATACATTAAATAACTCAAATTTTAGCTAACAAAATGCTAAAATACAATCACAATCCGAGTGAGAGTCATAAATTTTTGAAAGGCGTAACATTTTATGTTATAAAATTTTAATATTTTATATATACTTTTTGAGTTGCAACAACTAAACGAAGGGTGATCCCACATTTTTAAAAAAATGCTAAATCTATAAAAAAAATGCTAAATCTAGATATAAACCAAGCACAAAATCAAGTTAGTACAAAGACAAAATCTCTCACCTTGATATTAAATGTCCAAATCAAGGTATTCCAAAAAAAAAAAAGTCAAAATCAATCAAAATAAAAACACCCAATAAAACTAAAAATCAACCCTTACCTAAATACTATCTCTAAACCTCCGAGAATACTCAAACATATTATTTTATTACATAGATAAATTCCACTTCACATCATATATATATTTTAAAAAATGTTACAACTTGTTTTTTTCTCTAAATAAACCTAAATATATATGTTTTTATTACAGTTTACACTATTAGTTTGATTTGAATGATACTATTTTAGAAATATTTCAAATCACATATTTATTTTTCATTATTTATATAAATTCATCTATTACTTATTAAAATTTGAAGTTAAATTCAATAGCAAATTTTTTTAAGTAATGAAATTAGAATTTAGACGGATTTAAAATTATATAGCAAATAATTGTGAAAGAGGAGAGTAAATTGAAGGAATGTATTTGGTGGGGCAAATGAGGCAGCGCCAAAGGCGCAGGCCTCCGATCAATTGCTCTCTTAAACCCCCCTTCTTCACTCGCCTTCTCTCGCGTCACTCCCACTCGCCTATTTACGCCACATCCCAACAATTTCCGTTAAATTCAATTATACTTTCTTCAAAAATATATATATACACACTACAATATTTAAAAAATATATTTAGAATATTTTATAAAAAATCGACTAACATGCACATACCTCATAGTCTCGCACCCTACTTATTGTGCTCAAAAAATTTACAAAATTCAATTAAATTATAAGGGATAAAGTTAAACAATTTTAAATAGAAAAACCTGAATTTGTATAGCCTATAAAATTATAAAATAGTTTGACTTCAAAATATATCATAAATATTTTTGTACGTACATCTTTAATACATTATCTTTTTATACATAGATACAAAATTTCGGTTCTTTTTTATAATAAAAATTTGTATAGGAAAAGGAAAAAAAATAGAAGAAGTGTGGATAATCTATAAATTAATAATTAAATGGTAAATATAGCGGGAAGATTGGTTGGTTGGAGGACGTAATTCAAAACGTGGTAAATAAAATTAAAGAGAAAAAAAAAGGATATTTTAAAAGTAAATCTGAGAATAAAAAAGGTAACAAGAAACTATAGGAACAAAACAAACAAACAAACTAGAAAAAGTTGAAAAAGGAGGAGACGGGAAAGAAAGATGGAAGAAGAAGAAGAAGAAGAAGAACGCGCGTTTGAAGGGAGTGGGAAACAGTGGATTCCATAATTAGAATTAGAAAAAAGAACAAAAGCAGTGATAAGACGTGAGATGCAGAAAGAGTGTACTGATTTGTTGCAGTGGAGGGAGGGGTTCTGGGTTGCTGAGTTCTCCTCTAACGGCTTATAAGCAACCCGCCCATAATATATGCTGCTAAAACTCTTCTCCACCCCGCCCATGGCCGTGGACATGGCCCCCACTTCTCTCTCTCTCCGTTTTCAGATCCAAATTTTTGCATTTTGGGAGGAGGGTAATGGGTTTAAGAGCTTTTAATTGGGTTGGCTGAATATGCCCAGTGCCTGTTTGTAAAAATGCCCAAGAGAGGAGATCTTGTGGTTTATTAGGAAAAAAGATTGTACAAAGAGGAAAAAGAAATATTATTTTTGTTGCATTAATGAAAACCAACCTTTTTGTCTTTGGTGGAGGGCCAGGGCCTCCCCCACACTCTCACAGTGAAAGAAATTATTAATAAAGAACGGAGGGGGAAGAGAGGGGGGGGGGGAAAGATAAAGCCAAGGCAAAGCAAAGGGAGAAGGGGATGGGGGAGTGTGGGTTTTGTTCTGTCTTCGCCTGTCCCCCCCCACCCACCCACACATATACGCACTCTCTCTCTCTCTAACAGTCCAAAAGCCACCAAAGCATTGGCCTTTTTTCGCCTTTTGCTTCTGTGTTTCCTATGCAATTGTCTATGTCTGTTGCTTCTGCTCCCTCTTCTCAGTACCTGCAAATGGGAGAGGAATCATACTTTGAATTTCTTGTTATTATTTGATACCCCCCTTTCTTTCTTTCTTTTCCTCTTTTCTTTCTTTCTTTCTTTTTTCCTTCTCTATCGTTTCAGCCTACTGGGGCTTAGCATCCATCCAAACACTACTTTCTTGTTGTTTTCTATTCATCTCCTTTCACTTCTCTCCTGTTTTTAGCTTTATTGGTATCCCTTCAGGATATGTTTTCAGCATTCTTTACCATGATCTGACCTCATTTCCAGTTCTCTACAGCTTTGGTCTTCTTGTTACCTTATTGCCAATTGATCACTCCGTGCCATTCTCCTTTCTTGTTTTAGTTCTATTGCTGCTTATCTTTTTTCCGTTGGGAAGCATAAGCAAGACACTTGAAGTAACCCCTGGGTGTTCATGGAAATTGATCTGAACCAAACAGCAAGTGAGGTGGGCAAGAATGCATATTGCAATGGGAATTGTGACGAGGGCCGTTGCAATTGTTGTTTATCCTCTTCAACTTCTTCATGTTCCTCAAATTCTTCGTCAACTCCCGTCTCTTCTTCAACTTATTTGGAGCTTTGGCATGCTTGTGCTGGCCCTCTCACCTCATTGCCCAAGAAAGGAAATGTAGTTGTCTACTTCCCACAAGGTCACTTGGAGCAGATTGCCTCCTCAGCCTCCCCCTTTTCCCCCATGGAGATGCGCCCTTTTGACCTCCACCCACAGATCCTCTGCAAAGTCACCAATGTCCAACTACTTGTAAGTACTGGGTTTACATATTAAATTCAATTTCTCCCTTTTTCTCTCTCAAGCATCCTCCATTTCCCTTGACACCCTTTCGACTTTTCGCTTTTCTTACCATTTTGACAGGCCAATAAGGAGAATGATGAGGTCTACACACAACTTACTCTACTTCCCTTACCAGAGGTAGCTTTCAACTACTCAATTTATTTATTTTGGAGTTCGGGAAGGTTAATGAAGTTTGTAGCTTTTTTAGTATGTTATAGTTCTGAAGCTAAATTTCTACACGAGTATGTTTTCTTCTGTTTAATTTAGCTCGAAGATGAGATGAGTCTTACAGTGGCTGTACCATAAATTTGGGTATTGTATAGTTACTAGGCACTGATCTAGGGGGCAAAACGCTGGAGGAATTGGCGTTGAATGGAGCTGATGGAGATGGGAGCGGAGGATCGCCTACTAGATCTACACCTCACATGTTCTGCAAAACACTCACAGCATCTGACACCAGTACCCACGGAGGGTTCTCTGTTCCTCGCAGAGCTGCTGAAGACTGTTTCCCAACTCTGGTTTCCATTGCTTTCCTATGCCATATATTCAGTTTTTTCCTCAAATGAAATGAGTTGGGTTTTATTTCAGTTGTTTTATTTTGGGTATATTCTGACTGAGGTTGATGGTTACTGCAGGATTACACTCAACTTAGGCCATCTCAAGAGCTAATAGCCAAGGACCTGCATGGCGTGGAGTGGAGGTTTAAACATATCTACAGAGGTATATTATTGTGAGATTCCTTTGGTGTTGTTTTATTGGCTGGCAAAATTGAACTCATTCTTGAATAAACTTTGCAGGTCAACCCAGGCGGCATCTGCTCACTACTGGGTGGAGTATTTTTGTAAGCCAAAAGAATCTTATTTCTGGAGATGCGGTGCTCTTTCTAAGGTACCTATGTTCATATTAGCACTTAAGTATGAATTACATTTAAATCCGCCATAGCCATTTTGTGTATTTATGCAAATCTTTCCTTCTGCATGAGTGTCATTAGTTAGCCCAGCATTTATACTTAGCTTGTGGAAACCAAATTGGCATTTTATTACTTATAATTTCGGGCGACTTTATCTTTGAAATATTTTCTTTTTGACCAAAATTGGATCAAGAATTCCAGATAAATCCATTTTTCTATTAATATGTAAAAAAATCAGTTGATGAATTAAAATGGCAGAGTAGATGCTATTTGGCAGACTATTTGCGGAGAGTAAAACAAGATACAAATTTATGCAGTATAATGTTAAAATGAAGTTTGAGATACTTTTAAAATGGAATGTTCACATCTTTTGTTTAGTAGATGATCTGAAACCATTTGTGATTGTGTCTGCAGGGGTGAAAATGGAGAGCTAAGGTTGGGAATAAGGAGAGCTGTTCGGCCTAGAAATGGTCTTCCTGATTCAATTGTTGGCAACCAAAATTCTTGTGCAAACGATCTTGCTTGTGTGGTGAAAGCAATATCCACCAAGAGCATGTTTGATGTGTTTTACAATCCAAGGTACCATTAATGGTTCGCACCTCCTTAACCATGAAAGAGAATTCGCTATATATTATTGTAGTATTAGAACGGTAGTACAGGACATCAGAAAAGCACTTTGCTTTAGAGAGTTTGTGGACTTTGGTTTTCTAGGTTTTGTGCTCATTACTTTTCCAAGGTCTGCCAAATTATTTGCCCGTGGATCTGTAACTATGTTATATATGTCCCGTACACTTTAGTACTAAGACACCTTCTGTCTGTTGCACACTATGTGACAGAGGAAATAGCAATCTCAGGGGGTTTCTTCGTTAGCAAATGCCACCCTAGCATTATAACACTTAAATTGTATTTGAGCATAAAAACTAAGAAAAATGTAATCTCAAACCTCATAGATAGTACTAGTACTTATAATCTTGAATTTAAGTGAATTGAAAGATTGCATCTGTGAAATCTTGATTTTTAAGTTATGATGTTGCTTTGGGTCTGGCATTTTTCTTTCTTTTGCATAAATGGTCTGGAAGAAACAGAACATAAGAAAAAGGGAAGTACGAGGATGAAGGAATAGTATCAATTATATATTTAATCATTTTCAGAAACTAGAGATTTGAAACCTATCGCGTAAAAAACAGTTGTAAGATATGACACTCATTGTAGTAGACATTTTTGCCTTGTACTTTGTATATGAAGAGATTTTGACAAATTTACACAATCTGTGGAAATAATCCCTATTATTTAGCACTACTAACCATTAGTTAGAATAGAACCTTGAGGATGATTGATGATCCCATATTGTTAGTTTTTGGAAATGAAACGGCTTCCTTGAAGCACCACGATAAATTCAACGCTTGAGGAATACATTCATCGAAGTAAAATTGCATGAGTCGGTTCTCTCAGATATTCTCTATTTAGCAGCATACTGATTGATGGGGAATATTTTAGCGGATGCAATATTATTCCTCATTCATTATTAAAATTTGATAGTGTACTTGACCAGCCCTTACTTGCTTAGAAAATACAGTAACATGTTAAAATATACTGACTTGCAGGGCATATCATGCACAGTTTATTATATCTTGCCAAAAGTATGTGAAGAGCATCAATAATCCGGTGATCATAGGCACAAGATTCAAAATGAGATTTGAGATGGATGACTCTCCAGAAAGAAGGTTTATCCTTATGCGAGCAAGAGCAACGGGCTGTACTTTGTCCATGATTCTCCTCTACAAATATATTTATAGGTATTTGTTTCTTGCAGGTTTAGTGGTGTAGTTATTGAAATTGGTGACATGGATCCCTTTAGATGGCCGAACTCAAAGTGGAGATGCTTGATGGTAAGTGATTTAATCCCCATATGCATGAATTTTACCTGAACCCATACTTCACACAAGTATTATTGGATTTGATGTTTGGCTTCTTCCTATTGTAATGGCATTTTGTTTAATTCTCTGTCTCATAGTTAACTAATCTTTGTCCTCTGCCTCAGTGAATATTTCAAATTTAAACGAGAACATCGTCTATTATTAAGTAAAATTAATTCTCATGAATCCCAGTTTAAAAGAAGGTCCACTGAAAAGGATTCTAGACAATCTTATACATTTTAAGGCATGAACTGCATCCTGAGAATTTGCACAATTAGGTAAGGGCTTTGATAATGGAAGAATTTGGACGTATCATTAAACATTATGTTGGTAGCACAATGGATATCTCTTGGACAATTACTTTACAGACTGTATTGTAGTAGTAAGAACCATGTGAAAGTCGTCATGGGATGTTATTCTAATATTATAATCCGTCAGGTCCAATGGGATAAAGACAGTGATCATCAAGAACGTGTTTCCCCCTGGGAGATTGATCCTTCTGTTGCTCTCCCACACTTGAGTGTTCAGTCTTCTCCAAGGTTGAAGAAACTGAGGACTAGTCTGCAGGCCCCACCTAATAACCCCTTTACTGGTATGAGTCTCCAAATTATGGATTATGTTTCTTCTAAATCTGAGTTGTTAAAACTTTTTTTCCAATTTTTTCTTGCGCTAGGGAGGGGCGGTTTTATGGACTTTGAGGATTCAATTAGATCCTCTAAGGTCTTGCAAGGTCAAGAAAATGTAGGTCTCGTATCACCCTTTTATGGGCGTGATACTGCGAAATGTTCGCTGGAGTTTGAGGTGCGATCTTCTGCACAACAGAATCAAGCCTCGGGTGGAGTTGAAAAGCTAAATATAGGTGATTATGTAAAGGTTCATACGAACTCTTCTTTCACAGGCTTTATGGAATCTGATAGATTTCTGAAGGTCTTGCAAGGTCAAGAAATATGCTCATTGAGGCCACCAACAAGAAAAGCAGAATATAGTTTAGGTGTTTGGGGAAAGCTTAATCTCAGTGACAACTCTTTTAACACATTTCAACCACCAAACTCTGGTTTTTACCACATGGCGTCAAATGGCGCTCAAAACATGTATTTCCCTCGTAGTGAAATTTACAGCACTGGCCCAGCCCCCATGATGCGCTCAAATGATAGCCACTTTCCAAGAGAAAGTGCCTTGTTCAACCCATCTGCTGTTGATGCTAGTATTATCAGGACTAAAATGGAAAGGGCTAATCGTTCAGTAAATAGGGAGTCTGTACATCTAGTTTCTGCTCCCCCAACTTTAGGGTCAAATATGAGGAGTTCAAAGGATGAGAATGCGAATGAGAAAAACACAACTGGCTGTAAACTTTTTGGCTTTTCCTTGACTTCAGAAACAGCTACAAACTTGCAAAGTTCAGGGAAGAGAAGCTGTACTAAGGTAAGAAATGACTGCAGATGATTTGGTCAGTAATGTTATCTTTTTACTCTTCTTCTGCTTCCACGCTGATATTACTCTAACTATGTGAAGGTTCACAAACAAGGCAGCCTGGTGGGAAGAGCTATTGATCTCTCTAGACTTAATGGCTATACTGACCTGCTTTCTGAACTGGAGCGGCTGTTTAGCATGGAAGGACTCTTAAAAGATCCCGATAAAGGATGGCGAGTACTGTACACGGACATTGAGAACGATGTAATGGTTGTTGGGGATTATCCATGGCAGTAAGTGTTCTTATCATGAAACAATCTTTATGTTATTGCATGATAACAATTAAGATGAATTATAACAGTGAAAGTTCCAGAAAAGGAAAATAAAACCCGGATAACATGTTCTGCCAACGGATTTAATAGTAGATGTGTAGTGACTTTTCCCTACTCATATCGAGAGCTAGATAAATTTTAAACGTACAACAAGACTAATCAGATATCGTATCGCATCATGGCTAACTTCAATTGAAGTCCTTGTGTTTTTGATGATCTTGGCAGCAAAATATATATGATTAAGTTGTGCTCAACCTCTTAATTCCAAACTAGGTAGAGGCTTTTCGAATATTCGTTTCAACTTCTAATATTGGCAAATGATTGTTTTACAAGATAACGATTTTTTTCATCTCATTCATGCTGTGCAGCGACTTCTGTGATGCGGTTTCGAAAATCCATATATACACCCAAGAAGAAGTGGAGAAGATGACAAATGGAGTGACCAGTGATGATACTCAAAGCTGCTTAGACCAGGCTCCTTTATGTAAGGAAGCATCAAAATCCTCTTCAGTGGGCCAACCCGATTCTCCTCCAACAGTAGTGTAAGGGTTTAAATAATAACAACCAAGATGTGTGTGTTTTCCCATATCTATCGCTTAAGCTGCCATGGATGGCATCAAGTAGCTTCGTGATCTCTCTGTCTTGTAGATTGGAATCTATTTAAAACCTCTGCTTTCTAGTTGGCAGTATGTAACGCTACTGATCTTTTAAGCTCTGTGTGGAATGATACGATGCTGACGATTTTGAACTTAGTAGAAGAAAAACTAAAGTTATTTTGTTTAGGAGCTGCTTGAAGAAAAATATGTAGATTAGTTTTTTTTTTGTTTGATGTTTTGATACCAGGCCAATATTTTCAACAAGAAAAGTTGAAGGAAATGTGGATTTTCATGTAGTTTCCCTCTGTTTTTAGGCATCTAATTTGGTTGAATCACATTGGCTCCATTCTCCCTTTAGTTTTTCTTCTCTTTTGTTAGAGAGAAAAATAGAGGAAACATGTTTGTTTTGTAATTATTCTTGGCTTTCCTTTCTATTTTTAACTTTTAAAAAAATGCATTTCACAACCATTTCTTATTTATCTAATTTTTTTAAGCGAAAGAGAGAGTAAATTTAGCATTTTCAGAATTAAATGAAAGAAAAAGAGATCATTCGTGCAGCCAGAGTAAACTGATCTAAATGATTTTCGTTCCTTTTATTTTCTTCCAGGCCGAGGCAACGATTATTTATGATGATAAATGTGAAAAACGTTCCCTTAAAATTACACATTGTAATAAAGACCTCAATCACCTTGGCCTCTGCTGGTGGCTCATGAGTTGTGAGTAGTGTTGGGATGTTTTCTCTGTAGCAATTCAATGTGAGTAAGTTGTTTCATTGTTCTTTAAACAGCGACCGACCGATGATCATCCTCCTCACTTCACTGGTTCCTGCACCTATTTCGTATAGCTTTGCATCTCGGAGTAGTCGACCTGTTACGTACTCATTTACGTACCCATTGCCTCCCAAACATTGTATAGCCTGTGAGATTGAACATGAACATGAAGGATTGGCACATGGTAATATACATACTGTCTTAAAATTACAGTCAATGTGAAGATGACATATCGAATTGTTTGATAAATACTGCCCCATCAAATTGGAGTAGGTGTTACTTATTTCACATGCTACTGCTATGGCTTAAAGGTAATATAATATGATCCTATAGGAAAAGAAACAAGAAGAGTGTCTAAACGGATATTCTTTCCCAACTTTTTACTGAAACAAAACCTGTTGTAAAAATGTGCGTCTAGTAACTTCTATGAGATAAAAGATTAAACGATGTTAAATGAGTAAAAAAGATTTACCTGCAGAGCAACTTGTGTTGCTCTTTCAGCTGCACATAATATTACTCCAGCACAATCCTGGAAACAAAACCATAAGAGGTGAATACGTTAAGGATTTAATGTTGCCGCAGCAAACCACAGTTTCATCCCATTGACCAAGTGCTAATATTCATTAGAGAGGTGCAGGACAAAAGATCAAAGATAGTTCATCCATCGGGTGGATCAAAACATCAGCGGAAAATTTAAGAGCTTAAGATTTCCATCAAACCTTGGGATCAACTTTTCCACTGTCACAGTCCCTAGCAACAGAATAAACGTAGGACCTGCAGAGAGAGAGAGAGTTATCATGAGTAAAAGTTAAATTAAGAAATAACAACACATGGTTACTCCAGAATCTCACACCTTGATGATTGTAAAGAAGTATACATATCAGCGAGTTTGCCCTGCAATTGTGGATAAATTGAGTTAAAGAGTCTAAGGTTTTAGAGGAAACATCAGATATATGAATGGTAAGGTAGTCAACGTGATAGAACCTGTATAAACTGGAATTCTCCAATTGGACGACCAAACTGCTCTCTTTGTTTAACATAAGGAAGAACGGCATCAAGGCATGCTTGCATAATACCTAGAGGACCAGCTGCTAAAACTAGCCTCTCCAAGTCTAACCCAGACATCATTACATATACTCCTGGAAGAAAATATTGTACATTGTCTTACTAAAATAACAGTCAATAGTTTGGTTCTCTTCTAGTTAGGCTGAAAACAATACAAGATAGCATATTCACCTTTACATGTAACATAGCATTCATTTGCCATGAGTCATGACAACACCAAGGACCGTTATTGATATTAAGTAAAAATATCAGCACATTAAATTCCTGTCTTATCTTTCCATTGATTACATGCACATTCCAAAGGTATAAAAATAATAATAATAATAATAAAACTCTTAATAGATGCCATTGGAGCCTGAAATGCCAGCATTTTAGATACACTTGGCCCTTGGAGACATCATTTTTAGTCATCACAACATTTGATCAGAAAATTAAAAATTATGATGTCTTGGTTCAACAGAACACCTAACGATCAGATCATAGAATATTTTATTTCCTTTTGTGGAATGTGTTGTAATATCTTTAGCTGAGAAGAGCAAATTGATTGATCAAGTAGGCCATGACCATAAATTAGAAACAGTGTTGAAATCTGGTAGTATTTATTCCCCCACCACCACCACCAATCATACATCCAACATCATTGAAATAATTATACTTCAAATATTAAAGATAACTATCTACTAGATGCATAAATGAATGACAATGGAATAGCACCGGAATACCTTTTCCTTCTTGTCCAAGAACATTTTCTTCAGGAACGAAGCAATTTTCAAAGACAAGCTCACATCTGTTTAAACCATTGCCAACATTAGTGGAAGGGGAAAGAAGATTACATTTGCTTGTTTAGAAACTTGCACTTCCAAGCACAGTAGACTCACGTATCACTCCCTCGCATCCCAAGTTTGTCTAATTTCTGGGCAGTACTAAATCTGCAGAAACGTAGAAGAAGCCAATATAAGAATCAAGGTTTGGGGAATGTTCATTCGATCTAAATGATTTCAGGAGCAGGCGCTTAGGGTTGTTTTAAGAATACAGTTTAAGATCCATCAAATTTTGGGTAAAATATAAATTCCACCACACATTGGTTCTTGATAATGATCAATAACAACCACTCTTTTGCAATGACATGGGGAGAAACGATGGTGGATAGCTTTACTATGCCTGTTTGGTACCAACTAAGAGGCCACCAATCTGAATCGGAAAAAATTGAACCCAACATCTTGGTTTGGTTTACAACATGATACTTCTCAAGGTACACAATTGGAAAATATTGTCCTACACTACCAGTTAATTTTTCTCCATTGTGTTTTAAATTACTGTAATTTAGATCTACATTACTCAGACTACCATCTATAGTAGTGCACTGCTGCATTTTTAGAAACACAACAGATAATCTGCTACTTGCAAATTAACTAATCATTAACCAAACAACAAATTTTCATGTACCCGGGCATTCCTTTCTCAATGATAAATGCTGTAATTCCTTTCGAGCCTGCATTTGTATCCGTTTTTGCATAAACAACCTGATCCAATTGTGTATATCATCTCAGAATCAAGGAAATATGCAAGAACAAAACATTCAAGCAACCATGAATTGTTCAACCTACATGTTTTTAAGATGTTAAGGCAGAATACAAACTGCTAAATTTACTCTGAACCTATAAAATGTTACTTCCTCAACATGTTTGTTCCCTCCCAAGTTACTTGAAACGACCCCAAAAAAAACCACGACACACAATCTACCATGAATGCTCAAAATCAACAATGGAGAAGAATGTGTTAAGCCATTCTTTTTTTGTTGTTCTTTAATTAAAGGACCCTTTAGTTTGTTGCTTCATCATCATATTAAAGAAATAGCTTTTGCCAGGGAAACTGTAGAGAAGGGTCCCTATTACACTGGAAATGCAGGTGGTTCATACTAACAAAATAATGAAAAATTACATGGAAGGAAATATTAACATCAGGTTCAAGTGTGACTGAACTGAATTATAAAAAGCACATAAGAATTATCCATCTAAGCCAAACACATACAAAATATATAGAACACGGAAGTGAACTAGTTCAAGGTTGTTCGCACTAGACCCCTGGATTTGAAAAAGAAAAATTTTCACCAAATAACTACAAAAGATAAAGTTTAGGTAATTTTGATGATGCATATCAGATCTGACGTGACTCAAGTGTTTTAATAATTCTACAGTTATAAATGAAATATTATCTACATATCTCTTTTCTTAGGCCACACTTCATTAACCAGAATAAGAGGGGAAAAAATTTTAACACACTAAAAAAATGCACAACAAAAAATACCAATGTTTGAGCTGTAGGACCATTAGTACACCACATCTTGTTTCCATTGATGATATATCCACCGTCCACCCGGTCAGCTTTGCATTTCATGCTTACAACGTCCGAGCCCGCTGAAAATGGAAAATGTTTCATTAAAGGGTATAAGGATTCCCAGCTCTTAAAAGGATCTCCCTTTATATGTATACATGAAAAATATAAGTTTACTGAAGTTACCATTGGGTTCACTCATCGCAAGAGCTCCTACATGCTCTCCTCTAATGAGCTTATTAAGAAAGACAGTTAGTTAGCCAAAAAGAATTACTTCAATATAAAAGAAAGGAGCAACAAGAAGGAAATGAAGCACAAGAATGCATGAAAGACAAATTTTACTAAATTTCCTTAAATAAATTTTAATCATTAAGAAACATCAAATTTTACTTCAAAAATTATATTGCAAATTAAACAATCGGAAATTTTCAGGTATGACAATTCCGTATATATAGCAATACCATCAAGGAGAATAAAATGAGCATGACTGTTATGTTATGTACAGTAGTTAATCATTATAAATGATGAAAATTATGATGGAGGAAGGAACGTAGGCAGAAAGACATAAAACCTTTGGCAAGTACTTCTCTTTTTGAGCTGGGCTTCCATTCCTCACCTGAAAAATCAACAAATGCATGGGTGATATAGCATATGTAGTCCGTACTGTACGTAATCATTTCACTACTATACACAATATCGTAGTATGATGTCACAAACGTAATATGTAATCGTACTTCACTTTACCAGCTGATTGATGCACAGGTTTGAATGAGCACCGAAGGAGAGGGCAACAGACCCAGAAGCACGACTTATTTCTTCCATTGCTATACAGTGATATAAGTATCCAAGACCAAGTCCTCCATATTCCTCTACGAGACAACCAACAGTTTAGTCTTGAAATATCGTGAAAGAATGAGAGACACAATGCAATTATCTCATTTATATGTATTTACCTCCATCAAGATATTCATAATGTACAATAAGAGCACGGTTAAAACAAATTTTATGGGAAAAAAAAACTAGAAGATAATAAATTCGTAAATAAAGAGAATATGATTAGAGTTGCTTAGGCATTGAAAGGCTCCAAATAACAGGGAATGATGGAAGCATCAAAACAGATTTCTCACGGTCTACCTGGTGCAGTAATTCCGTGGAGATTGAAGTCCCCCATGAGTTTCCATAAGTTAACGTCCTAAAGTAAGGTACATTTTAACCAAATCATAGAGTAACTCACATACATAAATTAAAAAATAATAATAAAATAAAAAAACATATGGGATGGCGAGAGAGATAGAGAAAGAAACTTTCTACTGACCTGCGGAAAAGAGTTCGTTTGATCGATTATAGAGGCATGGGGAGCAATGTTATCTTGAGCAAATTGTTTAACACTTTCCTTGAACTGCAATTAATCAAATCAATTTGTTTAGAAAATTAAAACGAACACTTACCCATTCTATAAGCTTTATTATCCTCCTGATACCAACTGGACTGGACTAAACTTTCAACCATAAACGATCTAAAACAGACCAAGTGCCCAATCCACAAAGAAAACAAAGAATTCTCAGTTCCAAGCTTCGTAGTCACAATAAATTCGAATCACAAACTAATCACAGCTACAATGAAGACTCTCCAAACTAAGTTCACTAATAAACATCCAAAATAGAAAGCCATCGTCCACGAAATCAATAGCTCCCAATAAAATTATACAGAAAGATCATCATCACTAGCAAAAGAGAGAGAAATAGAGACCTGTAGTTGAGTATCGTCAAAAAGCAGAGCAGAAGAGAAAGAGGCAGATTGTCTCTGTCTCCTAAGAATCGCAGCACATGCAGTCCTCGCAGCAAAGAGCCTCTGCATCTTGATTCTTCACAGATAAATTGGCTCGAACTCGAAGAACAACAAAATGGAAGGAGATGGGGAAGAATTTGAAAGATGGAGAAATTACGTGCCGTTTACATAAATAATGAAACTAGAGAGGGAGTTCCGTAAATATGCCGGAAGTTCTCTACAATACATTTTGAGATAGATTCAACGTGGCAAACATTCATTGGTTCAATCGAAACTAACTTCAACAAAGAAGCCTCCCGAGCTCAGCTAGTACCGACCACACCGTACTTACAAATCATTTCAGATAGGATCGTGCATGAGTCAGCATCATCCAATTATTTTCTTTTTTCTTTTATAAAACTAGGAGGTTTATATATTAGATAAAAATAATCTTTCTTATTTTATTATTTTTTTTAGTACAATACGTGGGTGGGATCAAACTCACAATTTATTGAATTTTTTTCCAAAGTGTTTCCTTCATATCTATCAAATTTGTTGGAAAAATAATTTTTATGCATATACTCGATAGGAAAAAATGTATAATATAACTTTAAAAATAATAATTTAATTATACCATCGTGTCATTATAATAGTGATAACAAGATACTTTTTTTTCTTTCTTTTTTTTGTACGGAAGTGATAACAAGATACTAGACAAAGACAGTTTGCATGAGCTCGAGCTTCCTCGGTCCATTTTTATATTTCATTTTATAAATTAATTTTTAGTTTAATAATTACAAAAGTGAATGTGAAATAATTAGAAATTATAATACTTGTATTATTCATTGAGACATCTAGTTTGACTGTTGAACTAAATAAAATTCAAAAGCAATTTATTTACCAATTAAACACACAGGTTGTGGGGACCACCAATTAAACACACAGGTGGTGGGGACCTTTGAAATGGCATCAAAATTTTGTAAAAGAAAGAGATAATAAATTAGCTTTAGTGAATAATTAATTATTGGTTCCAAACAAAAATAATAATGATTAATTATTTAAATTCATATTTTTTATTAAAAATAAACATAAAATATATTTTTATTTCATCATGTACTACCTTGTTTTGGTTTGTAGCCAACTTTATAAATTAGTGAGTTATTTTTATTATTGATTATTAATTTAATTTGAGTTTTTTTTATACAATACAACAAGCTGGGTGGGAATACAAACTAGATTTAATTTTTAATATTATAAATACTCATAATAAAATGGAGGAAAAAAATATTTTTTATCTCTAAAGTTTGTAGGGAGGCATCTATTTGGTCTTTGAAGTTTGAAAAATTATTCTCAATAGTTCTTGAGCTACTTTAATTGTTAGTTGACTAACATTAAAATAACATGACAGTTAAATTGTTGGATGTATTTTGCTGATTTGACAAATATTAATTTAATATTTTTTCTAGGGACAGTTGCAAATATGTAAAAAATGTTTAGTAAAATTAACAAAATAGCAGCCATGTTTAGTTTTTCAAATATAAAACTTAAAAAAAAAGGAAATTTATAATAACTTTACCCAAATAATATAAATCTGTAATATATATAAGTAAGAGACGTGGACGAAACTCGTCAACAGAGGTGGGCAACATCAGTAGTGATGGCAAGTGATGAAGGAGATGGAAGTCAGTGACCCATCATAAGCTTCACCAGAGGAGAGGAAGGAGGTGAAAGGAAAAGGTAATTTGAAAAAAAAAAGAAAAAGAAAAAGTCCAATCATAAAATATCATTTCTCAATTTGATAACCAAAATGTTAAAAATTTTAAAGATCAAATAGATGCTTACTTCAAACTTTATAAACTAAAAGTATATGTTTCTTTTCAGACTTAAAGAATTTTTAGTAATTATTTAACAGTTAAAAAACACATTTAATCCGTAAACTTTCATTAAAGTCGCGATTTAGTCCCTGAATTTTTAAAAGTAACGATTTAGTTTCTGAACTTTTAAATTAATAATAATTTAGTCTAAGATTCTTTTAAAATTTAACGGAAAATGTGACGTGGAGTGCCAATAGACTTCTCCAATCCCCGCCTCTGACCGACCACCAGTTTCACAGTCTGGCCGCCGGGAAAGACGAAAGTTCCGACCATGGCTACTCCCATGTAAAATTCTTAAATTGCCGCAAAAATTTCAATCTCTGTCATAAACCTGGGTTAAGGTCAATATAACAAAAACCAAATTGGCTTTAATTAATTAGGCAATTTTAATTGAATTTTGTGGAATTTATGGGGTTAATTTAGGTGGAGATGAAATAGAAGGAGTGGCTCCACGAGCCGGAGAAAGGAGTTGGATGGGAAGGAGAAATAAGAGTTCAAGTTAGGTTTTAATATAGTAATTGACCATGTCTTTTTCTTTACACAATAGGTGAGGATGGGAAATCTAGTTAGAGATATATGTCAATTAAGGCTGAACTGCTCGCTTTTGACAATCCACCGTGTATTTAAAAAAACTAAATTTTTATTTAAATATTTTAATTATTAAATTTTCATGCGGTCGAGCCCCTTGGGCAGCCAGTGTTCGAAACTTCCTCCATGTTTTTTTGGGTTAAAAAATTTATGCTTATTATATACTTATAGATATATATTATTAGAAAATATGTAAAACGAAAATTTTGTTAGTAAATATAAATATGCCAAAGTTCTTTTTACTATATATATATTCATTTAAAGAATATATAAAAAGGAAAAGTTTCTTTACATAAATATGGCATTTAAACAAAAAGGACAAAATATAGATTGTAATAAGTAATTTTTTTTAATTGTTGTATATATATATATATATTAATTATCAAAGTTTTCTAAATTCAATTGTTTTACTTTTAATATAATTTTTTATTTGAATTTTACATAGTCAAACGAACAAAAATTAGAGATTAATTTTCTAAATTACATTTTTTCTTTTAACTTTACATCATAAGTACAAGCTTTTAAACAAAAAATTCACATCCATATTGACATGTACCTTATTTTAATTTTTTTTTTTAATACAACGACGAGTAGGGATTTGAATCCACCAATAACAAAATAAAATTTTAAAATAAACAGAAAATAATATATACCAATTGCGGTTTAACTATCTTATTTTAACACAAATATTTTTAAATTTTAAATATCATAATAAAGTAACTTTCAAAGTGAACTGAAAAAAAAAAAAGAATTATCAGTTCGAGCATAGACACAAATTGAAATTAAATGAGAAAATAATTTATTTCTAAATTAACACGCGGATGAAAGAAAAAGAAAAGAAAAAGTTAACCAAACAAATTGATATTGAGGCGATGGTAAAAGCGACGTCGTTTGGGAAGGGAAGATCTGAACAATCTTTTCTTGAGCGAAGGGAAAAGGAGAGCTACTAAAGCAGTTCGTAAGACTCAAACCTCGCTGCGACATTCGACTTTGATTCGGTTCCCAATCCATTTCGCGCACAAATTGCTGTTAATCCATCCGAATATGAGCGTAAGCACATCAATTCAAACCCTAATTCTCTATATTTCATGATATTCCGATTCTAACGTTTCTCGATCTCCCGATATTTCAATGCAGCCCAGTGATTCCAACCAGGTGAACCACGATCTTCTCTGCCCCGAGGCACCTATCCAAAGAACCCAGTAAGCTCTCTCTCTCTCTCTCTATCTCTCTCTCTCTCTCTCTCTCTCTCTCTCTCTCTCTCTCTCTCTCTCTCTCTCTCTCTCTCTCTCTGTATTTCCGTGTGTGGTACTTTTTTGGTTCGATTAAAAGTTGTGTATTCTGGAGCTGGGAGTTTTGGGGTTTTAAAGACCTAGGATTGTTGGATTTGGAGTTGGGTGGCGAATGAATGCGAAGTTGAGGTTCATTTTTTGATCGGCTGGACAGTTGAACTCGTAAATGCTTGTTTTTAACTTGCGCTGCTGAATAGGTATCCGTATGTGACTGGTACGTCCGTGGTTGCTATCAAATACAAGGATGGGATTTTAATGGTTTCCGATTTGGGAGGTCAGTGGAAAATCTTCGTTTTATTTTTCAACATTCAATTATCTGTTGGTTCTGTAATGTCGATGTCTTGACAATGCTTCAGAAGAAAGTTGATGATGATTATCAGCATGTTTAATATTTCTCATTTGTTAATAGCAAAACACCTTTGGAAGCAATATTTCTTTCTTTATGTGATTTTGAATCTCCAATATATGTATTGGCAAATTGTAATGCAATGCAATCGTGTGTGTGAACTACAGGCTCCTATGGTTCCACACTGCGATATAAGAGTGTGGAGCGAATCAAAGCTATTGGAAAACATTCTCTTATTGGTGCAAGTGGAGAAATTAGTGACTTTCAGGAGTTATTACGAAATCTCGATGAGCTCATGTAAGACTTTAAGCTGGTTTGCTTTACCTTCCCTTTTCTTTATACATGTTCATTATGGGAAGGGATGGTGTTCTTCTGTATTGGAAATTCAGGTGTCTGTATCGTGCATCTATATTGATTTAGAAGTTGAGTGAAATCTCTTTTTATATTGAATGGTGCAGCTTGTATGATAACATGTGGGATGATGGGAATGCTTTGGGGCCTAAGGAGATCCATAGCTACTTGACTCGAGTGATGTATAACAGGCGGAACAAGTTCAACCCGCTGTGGAACTCACTTGTTCTCGGTGGAGTAAAGAATGGGCAAAAGTATCTTGGCACGGTAGATCAATCCTAATTGGTTTCTTCTCATTCATTCAAATAAGTTTGTAATGTCATTTTTTTTGGAAGCATTGTCAAGCAAAAAAAATATAATAATAATAATATATATATATATATACATACATCTATTCTATTCTCAATTTAGATTCTTCATCAGCTAACAGTAACAGTTTACCATTTTTATTCAGGTTAATATGATAGGGGTAAATTTTGAAGATGATCATGTTACAACTGGTTTTGGCAATCACCTTGCACGGCCAATTCTTCGTGATGAGTGGCATGAGAACCTTACTTTTGAAGAAGGTGTGAAATTGCTGGAGAAATGCATGAGGGTGCTCTTATACCGTGATAGGTCTGCTGTCAACAAGCTCCAGGTTTGGATCTTTCTTATGAGCTATAATTATCACGGATCACTTACTTTTCCCTTTTTCTTATATATTTGTGAGTTTGAGAATTTGGGCGTGGGCCTATTTACACGCATCTCAGCTAATCTCAAGATATTTGTTTGATCCTATAACCACATTTGATTGTGATAAAAACTCATAAGACTTTAATATTATGGGGGTTGGTCACCATGAAATTTAAACTCGTTCTGTCAAAATCCTTTTTTTCACTTGCCCCAGTTGGTCAAGATAGTTTGATAGGAGTGCTATTAGGATAGAATTTGGGATATTATTAGGACATTAAGGATATATTAGTAGTTGGTTTGGAAAGTTAGGAGGTTTGGTTATAAATAGAGTGATGGGGAAATGATGAAGGTAGGCAATTGACTAGTATGGCTTAGGGTTTGAGTAAGAATACTTCAGAGAGTGGAAGGTCCAAGTACCTCGAGTTACTTGGGAGTTATTGCAATTATTCTATCTTTTACATTTCAATATATTCATAGTCTGGGTTCTATCACAACCATACCGGTGTCTACTAACTATAGCTACATCCATCGCCATCTCGTTTCTAGTTTCCGTAAGAACACATGTTCTGTTTATCGATTGTAGACCTCAATGGCTGAATGTTGTTCTCATCATCTCATGCTTGAATTTTGGAATTTACAGATAGCGAAAATAACTGAGGAAGGCGTGACAATCTCCCAGCCCTACTCTCTGAAGACATTCTGGAACTACTCTGCTTTTGAGAACCCAACTGCTGGTGCTGAAGGGTCATGGTAGATTGAAGCTACCTTGTTTATCCTAGGTTCCATTTCCCCAAATCTGGATGTTAGATTCATGTTAGATACTTGTCCTTTGGATTTGTATGGAATGTCTTCTTGAACTATCAGTTATATGATCTTGAACTATCAGTTAACATGATTCAACTCATGTTGATGTTATATTTCTTTACTTTTATTTTCACAGCCGGATTTTTCAGTACAAGCTTGCCTACTCCGTTGCTTGACACACTTTTAGATTCTCAAATGAGAACAACACAATCTGGTCAAGTTTTAATTTGTGGGGTTGAAACTAAATAAATGTGGTAATGTTGCTGTTTCTCCATTTTTAATATATAAAAGTAGAATTGCATTGCCCTTTTTTTTATTAAACAAAATTTTTTTTCCTTTTTTTCAAAATTTTTATACAATTTTGAAAACGTTATCAGAAAAATAAGAAATATAGTTAGTTATAAAATACTTATATAATTGGAAAGGATAAATGAGAACCTTTTTAAAAAAATTGACTGTAGGCTTTATCTATACTTATCATTTTAGGGTAAGCATATGTTTTAGTCATATTTAGTCTCTATTGTTTAATAAGTTTCTAGGTTGATAATAAATTAATTCTTCTCGATTTAAGTTTAGTAGAAAATTTTGAGTTTCTTTTTCTTAGAAAATATTTGTTCTCTTCTAAATTTTACAAATTCACTAAATATTATGTCAGGTAAATTTATCTAATTTTAACATTACCGATGAGACTAAATTGAAAAATGTTACAGAAAAATTCAAACCGTTGAAATTTGAATAGTTATCATCGTTGAAATTTTTGTTTTTACTTTTATTTATTTGCTTCTTTCTCGAGTTTTCAATGGCTAAAATTTTAAGCAGTCTCTAAGTCCCATACTAATAGAAATTAACCTTCATTCCAAGGCCTTTGATCTTTTCTTTTTCACCATAATGACGTTTTATTTACCCCACATTTCTAAGGCTGCCAATCGAATCAAAAAGCCTTTGACATTTTGAATAAGCTACACTCCCCTCACCCTGCAAAAAGGAAGAAGAAATAAAACTTTTCAATTCCATTTCAATAAACAAAAGAAACTTCTTCCAATGCAGAACCATAAATCTCCCGTCTTAATATTCTTCCCGACACGAATGTATAGCTGGTATAGGATCCTGTGGAATAAGAAAAAGAAAGACTGACAATTTTACCTTCCACATTACAAAATCACAATCACACGATACAATAAGAGATTAAGGAAAGAAACAATTATGACACAAATAATTTATATTGGTTCACCCTAACAGGACATGAGATTAAATACAAGTACTCAAAAGTATCTCACCCCAGATAGTCACTCTAAGTCTCAACAAAAGCTCTCTAACTTCTAAGTATTATACTTAGATACAAGAATTAAAAACTCACAAAAACAAGATCTAATTACACCAATATGTGTTGATCTTGTTCTGCCCCTGCCAACAACCCTGGGCCTCTGCCTCTAAAACACCACAAAAATCCCTCAAAATGGCTCTAGTTTTGACTAGGAAATCCTAAAACTCGAAACTATAGGTTTTATAGCATCGATACAGCGTCATGGCGCAGCGGACGGAATATTCATCCATGCACCCACATCACGACAGCATCGCGGCGCTGCCTCCTCGGCCCCTTTGTCCGGCAGCCCGCTTCTTCATTTATTTTTCATTCCTTCCTTACCTTGACTCGACCCTAACTCGTTTCGATGTCGATTTGGCTCCACCAATTCCAACACTATCAATCCACTCTTCATCCATAGACAAAACCCTCTCTTGATCACATCAAATGAGTTCTCTTTCCTTCGCAAACCCCGCAAAGAGTTCCTTCATAGATGAATTTAGATATACTAACACCACTTCAACATGTAAACTACTATCTAACTAAGAAGTAAACAAAATCGTAAGAATCAACTCCAAAGTTTCTAGTTCCATGCCACATTAAATCAAACTTAACCAAAAGTTTAAGCTAATAGATCTCTCTTCTCCTCACTCTTTTATACCTCAAAGAAGAAATGAACCGAAATGCGACGAAGCAACCTCCCATCTCCCTCAGATCGTCGGTTTGCTACGCAGAGGATATGATGCCGACACCGGAGCCCCGGGCGGGAATTAGTGACGGCGCCA